CATTGTCACACGAATCTCTTTTGTGTGTTTCAAATTCGAATCCATTCTTATGAACCGAATTTCTATAGGCATTAGAAAAAGAAGCGAAAAATGTATGAGGAACAAGAAATCCATGGCTAACACGACGTATACGATCGAATGAAAGAAGGAATGAAATCAAATGAAAAAAAAATTGGCTTTTATTTTCAAACATGTTCGTTTCGATCATTCATGCAGCGCCTTTCATATTTGCTTTACACAATCCGTTTGCCCATTGCAATAATACGCGAGAGATATTGTCATTTAAAATGAGATAAAAGACCGAGTAACGTATGGTGTGTGTTTGTATGTACTGTAAATAGCAGTTGATGCTTTAAAGTGTATGGATGCGTGTGATGCTCGGTTATTTAGATTGTGATTTTGAATATAATGAAACAGTTAAGGCGCATAAATTAACATCAAAAGAATTGAATTAATTGCATTAAACGCAAGCATATTCCCTTTATTTTCCCGTCTTTTATTTTATACAATCGTCTTCTTTTTGTCGATAAATTTCTCATCTTTTGTCGGCATTAGATTAATCTACTATAGAAACATACAAGTTTATGCAATTCAATTCACTTTTCATACAATTTGTATGCCGTTTTCACGGTCTGCTCCTGGTTCTCTCAAACTAGTTTTTCTGTGATTGCTGGCTGGTTGGTTGGCTGGCTTTTGTTGTTGTCGTGCCAATGTGGTATTATGCATTTTCAATAGAAGAATTGCATTTGAATTGTATGCCATTGTTTTTTCTTCTCCAAAATTGTAACATTATAAACATTATCAAAAGAATGTTGATCGAAGTTTCATGTTGTAATGCCAATGCAATAACTAAATGAAGGTTGCAGTTTATTCAATCGATAATGCATTTTGATAAAGAGAACGAACAAAGGAATGAAAAAGAAAAACCAAACCAAAAACCAAAAGCAAATGTACAATATATTCAATTACTCACTTAATGCGGCCTCATGAAAATGGAAGCGATGCCAATGATGTGTGTGTGTGTGGCTTAGGGATACCAAATGAGTCGGAATATATTTGCAATTGAAACAAGTTTCTCTTATCATAATCATGCAATTAGGTAAGTGGAAAGGCGTCCAGTGGATTGGAGTAGCATTCACGAAATTCAGCCATAATGTGCATTCGAAAGGAAAAATTGTAGTACTCAATAATATGAAAAAGCAGATTGTCACAAAGCATTATCATGCATACATATAGCCGAAGCAATGAAAAACAAAAACATCACATTTTCCTCTCTCCGCTCGTATTCTATTTTCGCTTTCTCAGTGTTTTGATTTTCTATGGATAATAAACAATTCGTATTGTTGTGCCATCCCGAAAGGATTGCACATTTAAACACGACTGCTGTTTTTTTTTTTTTGGTTTTCGATACACAAAAGAGAGATTTTTCTGTCTCTATTTCTACTCTGTCTCTATCAATGTGTCGTGCAAACAACAGGCGCTTTGGAATTTTATACGGCTCTAGGTTCTGTTCCAGATTATATGCGCATTATAATTTCGGTCCTTCAAACAATACTGATCTCCTTTTTATTCGGTATAGAATATTATGTATGTGTCGTGTTCGTTAGAGAGCACAGTAGTGATAGGAAAAAAAGGGATTTTTTAAGTACCCTTGAGACAAACACTTCATAAACGCTAACTTGTCCATTGAGTTTTTCGATAAAATTTCCGTCAAATGCTTTCTATTACTGGTCGATTACTTCGTCGCCGAAACATACATACATTTACCACTTTTGCGTTGCAAACGACGTCAGAATGGTGTGTGTGTGTGTGTGTGTGTGTGTGTGTTGCAGCCCTTGTTCTGCTATCAATTTGTATCATGTTTTCGATGTGTGCGTATTTTAGTATTTTAGTGCGTCTCCTTGAACGAGTTTCTTCTTCGCCCATTTGTTCAACACATCATTCACATCATTCAATTTAGTGGTATACAGTATTTTTGTGGGGTACATTTTTTACTTTGATACATGTGCTCAACGAAATGGACAGCGACACGTTGCCACTCTAACGATTTTTTTTTTGTCTTAACTGCCACACGGTGATGAACAAATACAATTATTCGTGCACACGTTTTGATTTTAAATCTGCGATTGGATGTTGATATCGAAAGCCGAGATAGAATTTAGTATTTCAAATTTTCTGAACATCCCTTTTTTCAAGGGCTTTCGCCCGACATTGTCGATTTAAATAGTAATTTGTATTTTCTTTTTCATTTTTCATCGCTTTGAATTCATCCAAATTTCCCCGAAAAATACCGTCGAACTTAAATTCACAATTCATCTAGCCATTTGAAATGCTGCAAATGCAATGAAAGTGAAAGGGACAGTGATAAAACTCATTTTCCATCGCATTGGCAACGAAAAGCTATCATATTTATTAATATTGCGCAATATTCCACAGTCAAAGGCCACACACTTGTGTAGATTACTTTTAATCACTATGGGACCATTGCGCATTTTTTTTTCTGCACCAAATTGCATACCCATTGCTTGAACGGTTCTCTCTTTCTCTTTCCTCTCGTTTGTTCGTCTCTCCTTTTTAATTAGTATCCGATTTCACGCATATATTCCATACAATGTAATACGATTGGACGGTGTACATGTGCACATTCCGTGTCATATAATATTTATGACGCGAGTAGAATTCATATATTGACATTCATCGGGAATATTTTTATGGTTTCGCAATGGGGCAAACATTTCATCATGGTGGTGACACTTATAATTGTCATTGTAATCAAATCGACCCAGAGAATAGGAAAAATGGGCGAGAGGTGTTACATGCACTCTCTTTTTTCGGTGATTTAGTGACCGAAATCGATTTACTTTGAACGCAAATCCAAACAAATCCAACAACAATTAAGATTAAGAGTTATCGCCATTAAGCATCTCTAGTTGAATTGGTGATTTTGTAAGTGTGCTTACAGAGTGTGTTAGCCGGCAACAATGTACTTCAACATCTTGTTTAGAAGCATGATGTATTTGGAATCTATTGGAGTGGTGAGCGACAGGCAAGAGAATGAGATAGAGATAGAGAGAGAAAGCGTGGCTAGGGTAGGTCCGCTATGTGTCACCATAAATTCACAAGTTTGTGAAGCACAAGTTCATGTGTTACAAAGCAAACAATAGATTTTCAGGTCTTTCATCAATTACTTCGAGTTCATTGTTTGAATGATTTCCATTTTGTCCGTACACATATTTCAAAATCATCGAGAAAATAAAGAAAGAAAGAGCAGAAGCCATTCGAATACATTACTTGCGGACTTTGACGACAATCAGCGAGCTAAACAACAGGGAAAAAAAGAGACTTGTGCTATGCGAGAAGATGCAACTAACAACAAAAGCAATTCAATCAATTGCGTACGATGTTCCACTACATGGAACATTGTTCACCGAGCGTATACAATGTCATCGAAAATTGCGAACTGACATTTCATAATGGTCTCTCTCTCTCCCTCTCTCTCTCTCTCTCTCGCGCTTCGTGTGTGTAGTTATAAGTCCGTTCTATGTTTTATTTCGGCATAAGCATGTGATTGAGATTAAAATTAATAAGAACTAACACAATGCCAATCAGACGCAATTTTTTGGGGAAAAATCATGTTTTTCCGAAGGGACAAATCCGGATGTTTAAATGCTCTCACTACGTGTGTATGTTGATGGGTCAAAATAAACACGAGTCTCGGACTTTTGTTACAACTTTCCATCCAATCCTCTTTTTTTTTCCAAATCAAATGAAACCTTATTATGTTTCATCTTGTCGGATTGTTTGGTTTTATTGAATGCGTTTCTAATTTGAAGCAGGAAAATATGACGGATGCCGATTTGATGAATCAAAGAGTCGTTACAATCTATTAAGTAAATTAGATTACTGAAGGTGCAATTCGGTTTATTCGGTCAAACGCGCTTGAGCCACAAGCACACATCCTTATTCACATGGCCATTTGATCTTTAACAACGATAATTTTCTCATTTTCCGAAACACAAAAAACAGCAGCAACAAAACATCAATAGTCTAATACCCATGTGAGCATGACAGCTCATGTTATTGATTAAACGAATGTTTGCTCGCTTTAAAAAAAAATTACATCAAATAAAAACTATCAAATGCAATGAGCACACATTCATTACATAGGGTATATATCGTTGGCTCAGCCTCGATTCGATTCGTTTCACTTCGTTATGGAGCATAGTGCCAGGTACATAAATTCAAGGCGTCTAAACTCATTCGACACAGCACAAAACTAAATTATCTAGCCTCTATTTCAACCCTTGTTTGCTAAATACATAATTATTACACCTCCATGCGTATGTGATCGTCATTCATTTGGCGCTATCACTTATCATCTCATATTTAAATACAATTAAAAGTTGTGCCTTCATCTCAACGCTTTGATGTTTTGTAAATTCGAGATGGAATTTTGTGCGCGTAATCAACTTATCCACCTTTGGGTGGTGAGCATTCACTTTTACCACATGGAATCATCGACTACATTAAACATATATGCAGAGCAAAATGGATTGAAGCGTCTGTAGCGCCAAAATAACTTGAGCAAACTATATGTATGTACTTGTACATATATATAGTTAATGTGCCCATAGTGAAAGAGAAATGATTACGTTGTTAGTGAAGTTAGAACACATGGCAATAAGTGAATTTTGTAAATTATTACATCTGATGATAAATATGATAAAGTGAATATGTAATTTAGTCTTTCACATCTAATCCCGCTCCGCAATATTTGCTGTATACCGAAAAAAGTTTGAGCTCATAGAATATTTCGGGTTTTGGAAGCCAAAACATTATTTCGGTGTTGTGTGGTCTGTGCTTTATTACTAAATGATGTATTGCATGCTAATTTTATTTGGTGCCGCTTTTACGTAAAAGTTTTTGCATAAGATGACTATGGAACTTGAATTTTTGGCAGAAAATATTTATCCTGGGATTTAAGTTAATGAACAGTCACATTTTATGTATAAAAAAATTGAAATTTTTCCCTTTATTTTCCTAATATGCAACAGAACCTATACCTAATATGTAAACAGTAAATAAATTAATTTGTTTTGAAGAAAGAAAAAAAACATCATTAAATCGTTAGACAATATCTGATTCAATTCATGCGCTGTCGCAATTCAATCCTCCAATGAATTTAGTATCCATTCCATGTAATATTCAATTTTTGTGTAAACACCTGGAATCGTATGAATATTTCTTCAACTTTGTTCGTATTTTGGTACGAATGTGATGAAAAATTATGGAAATATCAAACCTGGAATTCCAATTGTTCCACATTTTTCAGCGCCAAAGCTCACAATGCCGGACGCAACCCATATGCTATTCCGTTGATCAAAATACATGAGTGGACCACCTGTTCGAAAAATTCCAACAGTGCTTTGAATAAATTTTTTTCTTTGAAATATACACAACTTTAAATATGTAAATACAAAGCAAAATATAGGAGAGTGTCATCACCTGAGTCGCCTAAGCAGCTATCTTTAGCGCGCAAACCACCGGCACAAACTTGACCAGGACCAATGCTCAGATTGTGAGCTCTATATGCATTGGTGCAATTGCACATATCACTGATGGGCAAGCGGACTTTCAATTTTATCGAACTAGAAACATCACCATATCGCTTGAATACTGATTTATGACAAAGATAACAAAAAAAGGGGGAAGAATACATACAAAATGACACAGAAATTAATTGCGAGAAGAAACTTGTGCAAAATGAGTAAGAGACTGGTGAGCTGGTCACTCATTATTTATTAGGCAAAAGCAAATCTTGAAACGATCGCAAGTGGAATGAATGCAATGAAAGAAAAAAAAGTTACCCACTTTATTGATCATTTCAAGATTTACTTGCCATGCCAAATACTATTAAATATCGTTCGTATTACGTACCGTTAGTGCTACCCCATCCCGATACGGTCAACTTATTGCCGGTAATTAATCCACTGCTGAGACCCACAATGGGTAAACAAATTGGTTTGATGTATTTTGAATATGAAACATTTGTGTCGAGGCGAAGAAGAGCCAAGTCATGATGCTTGTCTCTTGATGTATCATTATATTGTGGGTGAACGATGATTTTTTCGACGCCCACCTCAACGACTGGATCAGCACATTTGAGAACTTGGCCAGTTGCCGTTCTCGATGGCATGCAATCCTGTTCCGTTTCAATATTGTATTCACCGAGACGCACACCTTTTCTGTGTCCATTTAAAAGGTTACAATACAATGTAGAAAAGTTTTTGTTTGTCTGTTTGTTTGTTTGTTTGTTTGTTTGTTTGTATTTTTGTTCTAGCCAATTTGCTGTTGCAAAGTGCAATTTTGCAATTAATCTTTCACCATGCAAGCAACATTCACTGATTTACATGCACTCCAATTTATTGCTAAAGTATTTTTAATTTTTAATTAAATGTGATTCATCTTATTAGCTATTCGGTTCAACGTACAAACCAGATTTACTTTCATACAGCTGGCCAGTGACGCAATGTGCAGCGGTTAATACGTATCGGTTATTTATCAATGATCCACCACAACCATACGGTCTACCTGTTTGTGTGGAATAGAATCAATATTAAAGCTTTGTTGCGTATAAAGAAGAGGCCATAAACTCTCTGTATTATGTGGAATTATATTGGCAACAGAATAAAAAAAACCAAACAAAAATGACTCACTCGAATTGGTGTTGTAAATTAACAGCGCCATCCTATGAAACGAGTATAATTAGCACAACATCGATAATACAAAATAAATTCAATCGAGCACGAAATGTGTAACTAAGGCATTTCCGTATTGAATTGTAAAATTCCAAAATGAGTCAATACCATGGGAATTCCCAGATGCTGGTAAAGTCGCCCCCAAATACTCGATTCACCGACTGATGTCCATCGCCACATTCAAATTTCAGTGGTAACCGACTGATTTCAGCGTCTTCTGAATCGAAACGATCACTAATAGAGAAGGGCTCATCGTTGCTTGGCCGAAACTGTTCCAAATTTATGTTACTGCCCATCGTATCGGTATCGGCATCGTTGTCCGTTTTCTTCGATAAACCATTAAAATCAATGACCACTGAAGGGTTGCTGCAATTAACATTAAGAAGTATTTATTCCATTTAGTGTTTGAATTTATTTGTTCATAGACGTGTCCATTGAAAACGCAATTCTAACTCACCGATATGTGGTTGAATTAGTCGGGCAGCATACAATTGTTTCATCCACATAATTTCGATTGTCACACTGCAGTTCTCGCATGAAATTGACATTCTCGGTCGTTATGGGATTGGTGTACAAGTCCATATACGGTGTGCAATTCTCTTTGATTGTGCACGTTCCATTTGATGTTTCGTTTGGTATTTGGCATACAGCACCTATGGTGAATGTAATAATTTTTTGTTAATTAGAGAATTTCGACATCATAAAACGTACCAAGTAGACAATGCTGAGTTAAGTGCAATTTTTACCGATTGATGAAATATTACTCCATGATTGTTGGACAAAAGTCGACAGAACGATAAGACCGATAATGAATGAATGGAATGCTGATGGTGTTGCAAACATGTTTGGTCTTCACTGGCTCTTCACTGCACAACAAGCCAAATAATATGTGGGAATAATACATGCGTCGCATGAAATAAGAAAATGTATTTGTTTTTTTCTTCTTCTTCATTTTCTGTTCAGTCAGTCTTGTCATCAAAAAGGTTATCAATATGTTGGCTTTGTGTTCTTTCTTTCCCTTTCTCTCTGCTTTCATATTTTACATATGTGGCGTATTCGTTCTATCGCAACGCTTTCTATATCATTTGTGCGCGCTGCTTCTGCCATACAAAATAGAAGCGATATTTATTCAAACGAGATTGAATACGAGAATAAGAGAAAAAAAAACACGTACGAAGGTGAAGCGCATATAGACTAACAATAATACGTCATTAAACCAGTTTTGACTGAGAGTCTTTCTGAAACCACACACACACACACACAATACATGAGCGTCCGATTTTTGTTCTGTTCGAATTTCTTTGTATGTGACTGTCAATGACATGCTAAAACTAAACGAAGACACGCATGAATGTGAGATTTGATGTGTTTTGAAATTCCATCTACAATCATTTCATCGATTAAAATCAGTTGATATTTTTTGGAAAATCCAGATAAAAACATACTTGAATTTCTTCGTTTTAAATTTGGAAATAAAACAAAACAAAACAGACTCTCGTTATAAATCTACATGGAAAAAAACCGATGGGCTTTTCAAGCCCATTTATCAATGCAAAACACTTTGGATTAACCTAATAAGTGGACATTGACACAGGCCAGGCAATATTTATGCTGAAACTTCAAAGGTGAATGATTTATTTTGTTTGACCTATTTCAATTCAATTTGTTTCTTCTTTATTTTTTTCTGCATCTCCAAATTTGCACAGTTTCCGTTATTAAGCAAATAATTCCCTACGGCTATATGCCCGAAAGTATTTTCAACTATTTACTAGTTCACAAGAGGGTGAAACTTCGGTGCATTAAAAAAAAATCCACAACCAGAAATTGAAAGTAGTATTTTGGGAGATTTTGTGAAACAAGCATTTACTTCGCTCGCTCGGTATGTGTCGCCTATTACTCCGGTTCAGTCGAAATGGAAGCGTAGAAATCGTGACCTCAAAAAAAAAAATCAAAGATCGCATGTATTTTGGCCCATTTTGAGTGAGCATATTGTAACAACAAGGGTTCGAACATATATTTGTGATTATCAGCAGAAATCAACTAACGAACGGGAAAAAAATTCAATTGTCGATAAATTTGATTCACCATTTTTGGTTTGCTATATTTCGGCCGATTTGCATCAGTTATTTCAACACATTCAACCTCAATGTATTCAAATAGAATAATCTCCTATTGCGATTCCTGCTCTCGTTCAATCTTTTTTTCCTCTCTCTCTCTCTCTCTCTCTCTCGTTGTATGAAAAAGATGTTACATTTTTAACATCAAATTGAAATGATTTAAAATGCGTTCGAGGCCAGTTGTTTGAGCAGGACGATGGGTGAAATTTGACAAGGTTTATTGGACATGCAACTAATAGTCGATGGCAGATACAATCAATATTGTGCACGAGTTATTGGGAAGGAGTATACTCTGGTTTGAACTTGTTGCAAATCAAATTCGACGAAATGTCGATTCAAATGCGGGAAAAAGAAATCTGATTGTGAACCCTTTTTTTCTCATCAACTCATTCTCATGTTTCGACGAATGTTTCACATTTGATATTCCATTAGCATTTTACAAGTTGACGCAACCAGGCACATTAAGACTTGCAACGAAAGAGAGAAAAAAAATTACCAAACTGTGCCAAATAAAAGGATAAAAAGAGCGACAGATGAAGAATAAAAAGAACGGTAGATCAAACCGAAGAGCTTGATGCTCAAAAGAGGAACAGTAGAAGAAAAAAACAGCCCGGAACGGAAAAGAAAAGACATGTACCCAAAATTGAAGAGTAAAATCATTCTTGCACGTCCTTTTTCTGTTATTGCAGCAAAAGACGAAGTGTTTTGCCATTTAAAATTTGCATGAAACAGAATAAAATATGCGAAATATACATTATTCACGATTCACAAGGTCTGTCATCAAAAAGCCAGACAACATTGAAACAAACACACACGCACACACGCATACACCAAAACGAAACGAAAATTAGAAGAAAGGCAGAAGAAATTTCCTCGTAACAATGACGCAATTTAATTATACATGATAGAACAACGAAACACATGACAACTTGTTCGGCTTTTGGACGTACACGGTCATAATAGCGGGGAATTTCTTACCCTTTTCCATGTGATAATTTTACTCAGCGCATGTTCACATAAAAAAATGAAAAGAAAACAACAACGAACCAAAAAAAAAAAAAATTTAAAAAAATATGGATACAGACACATCAGTTTTATTGGAATAGAATGAATCTATGGCAATTGGTTGCAACATTAGTGTCTTGTTTACGACCGAAGATATAGTTCGAAAACCTGCGTAATTTTCAATGTCAATTCCAAAATATCCAGTTTTTCGTACCAACACTAATTTTATTTTGTGTCGTTTCACTACATTCGTCTATGTTTTGCTACATTCCTGACATCAAACTTGATGCTATTCACGCCAATTGAGACAAACACAGTGAAAATATTATGTATACAGAAAAAAACCATACCATGGCAGCTGAGCGAAAAAAAAAAACCATATCAATCTGGTTTTCACGTTAGGAATGAGGCTCAAAGAACTCAGTATCATCGAATTGCAATCAGTTTAGTTTTACGTCTAGATTGACATACGCGTCAGAGAGCGTATGTATCAAATTTTATCATTTTTTTTTATTGTTCCGAGTAATTTCCCCGTGCAACAAACAAGTTTGTGAATGATTCGGATTTCCGTGAAACTGATCGAAAAGAATTAAACGGCTCAATTTACATTAACTTTCGTTTTAAAATAAACCTCAACGATCTTAACTCAAATTTCAAATAAGTGATTCATAATTTTGTTTGCCTTACCTGGTTGTTTGTGCGGTTACCCATCCATTCCCAGTTAGTTGTGGATCGTTGTTGCAAGTGCTTTGCAGTCATTGGAGAAGTCGAGACATAAGCAAACTGACAATTTAGTTTCTATTAATATTTACAATTCAGTCAAGTGCGTGTTCAATTTGAATTCAATTCACTTAGGGGAAAAAAGCAAATATGTTGCGTTCAATTTGTGTATATAGCTTATCAATTTTGTTATTATTATTTTCATCGATTCGCATATCATGTGCACAAAGTATGTATAGAATGTAGTGAGTACTTATCGCACATTTGATGAGTGATAAAACACGTATATGTGACTCCGTTGTTGATTCATTAACTTTTACAGATTTGTGTTACACCCCAGAAAGTATAGCCGGTGATTGTCGATCAATTTACGATTGTCCAAGTGTTCTAGCGCAATTTCAAGGTCGATTAACACGTCGTACAACGAACTATTTACGAAGTCTTCAATGTGAAAATGGAAGCGGTCAATATCCTCATGTGTGCTGTACTCTATTCAATAATTTTGAACAGCCAGAGCAACCAAATCCATCAAACTGGCAGTCGAATCGGCCGCAGAGTTATGGCAGCAGCAGCGGTCGAAGACGTGGTAGTGGTCAAATTCTACCCGGCACTGGAACCTGCGGCCTAACTTCATTGTCCCAACGTATTTATGGAGGCGATGATACACTTCTCGATGACTATCCGTGGATGGCGCTTCTCGAATACCGAAATCGTAAGTGTTCCCAGTTCAGTCACGCGTTGTTATTTATTCGCTCCGAAAGTGAGATGGAAGGAGAGAGAGAGAGAGAGCGAGTGATAGCCAATTCATTTTGGATTGGCAGAAAAAATTGCATTCATTCCAAGTGATAATGTGATTTCATTATGTTCATTTGCAATCAATTAGGTAATCGACGAGAACGAAAATTAAGCTGCGGTGGTATGTAGCATTGTCCAATTATGCTTCGAATAAGAACATACAACTTAGATAAAACAATGAATAGTACACACTGCATCTCTCGACTTTTTTTTCCCTTTTTATGTAGGTTCTCTAATAAATTCACGTTACGTACTCACAGCGGCCCATTGCTTAGTTGGTGAAATCGAGAAACGCGTCGGAGAATTGTGAGTAGAAATTATTGCCGATGGTTTTTTTCTCTCTCTCTCTATTGAAACGTTACAAATTCGTTAGTGAGCCAGAGATGTGTGTGTGTGTATGTGATTGTGGATGTGGGTGCGATTGGTATTAAGTACAGTGTAAATGCGTAACTGCTAATTTAGTTTGAGCAATTTCAGTGATATTTTTGTTGTTTCGACGATATGTTAATATATGTATATTAAGGGAATAAAAAAAGGTGGTGAAAGAGAGAGAGAGAGAGAGAGAGAAAGATTTTCACAAGGAAAGACACTTATTGCATTGTTTTCGCTTTCGAAATAAATCAATTAGAGTTGCCGTGCGATTGGGCGAGTATGATCTAACAAAGGAAATTGATTGTCTGGGGAATACTTGTGCCGATCCCGTAATAACCGTGGGTGTTGAGCAAAAAATACCGCATGAACGCTATAATGAGAAAAATAAAAATCGCGCAAATGATATAGGCCTGATTAGACTGGATTCGGAAGTCACTTTCACGGATTACGTCAGACCGATCTGTTTGCCATCATCAGTAAATTCTCCAAGGACACTGCCGAATGAGCGGCTCGTTGCGGCTGGATGGGGCCGCTCTACCACGAGTAAGAATTTATTTAAGATAGAACGAAAAAATAAGAAGTTCCTCGCACGCTCTAATAAGGTGTTAATAGGCCGTGCTTTATGGCGGTAGTTTCAATGTGAATAATCGCAATGAACATGCAAATCCCGTTAAAACCATGACACGTGACAACACACCGAAAAAATGTTAGTGCTCCGATTACAAATCAAGTTGCGAACGGAATGATCAAGAGGCGAATAATTTCCAAGATAATTACGCAGTGATGAATTTATAAAGATTTTGTCCTCTTGTCTTTTGTCTGCGTTTCATTATTGTTTTGCTCCCATTTGCAATATGTATTGAGAATAGAGTAATTTATGTACTTCTGTATTCCGTTTTATTTATTCAAATTGCAGTGCGACAAAGTGCCATAAAACAACACGTTGAATTACCAGTGTACGACCATGAAGAATGTACGAATAAATACAGAGCGCTTGGAATATCGGTCAATAAGAATCAAGTGTGTGCCGGTGGAATATTCGGTTTCGATACATGTGACGGTGACAGCGGCAATCCTCTGATGAAAGTTCTCGCAAGTGGATGGGTGGTTGAGGCACTCGTATCATTCGGACGTGGTTGTGGTTTGGAAGACTTTCCAGCCGTTTACACGAAAGTCTCTAATTACGATAATTGGATAAAGAAAAATTTGAGAGCCTGAGAGAGTGCAATGAGTCATCACTTGGAATCAAAATGAGCTGCGATTCACTTTAAGTTTAAGGGAAACTGTATGGTTTATTAAATATTCTGTAATAAATATATTATGGCCATCGTAACCGAACACATCGACGGAGATTTTAATGCACATAATGCGCATTAAAAATATAAAACACGATAAAAAAAACATATACATACACACATCCACACCGAGAACTGTCGCAAATACATTTTGTTGCATCTCCAATTTTCCTCTGTGTTTTTTTTTCTCGTTCATACACTTTTAATTCGTCCCATATTTTTACGCACTAAATCTCACATTTATATACGAATATCAATGTGAACGACACACATCAATAAAACGTATTTTTGATTCCCCATTTTGTGCGAAACAAACGAACAACCAAAATAGCAACAATAACGGAAAAAATGAATGATATAAAGTCGTTTACTTTTCCTTCCATATCGATATGCCGAGCAATAAAAAACAAAAGCAAAATTTTATGTGTTTCTAAAATTTATATTGTTTTTATTTCATACCGTGCATAAAACCGAATATTTTCAGTTCATATTGAAGGCAGTGAAAAGAAATGCGACTGCAAAAAAAAGATAACGAGCACAAAAAGTAGCAATAAACCACAGAGAGTGAGAGAACAGAAAAAAAGTAACAAGCACTGAGTGTGCACTGTGCATTCACATTTTTACAGAGAGATGTGGTAAAGTCTGTGTGTTGCTGTCGACCGGGGTCATTGATATACAGTCGATTATCTACTTTTTATAATTAAGGACTCTTATTATTTGGAAAAATGAACTACGATGATGATGATGACGGCGACGATGATGATGTGTATGTCTCTGGAAATAAAAGATACAATACCTCCCTACTGATTTATTAGTAGTAAATAAATAACGACACAGTGATGATGCTTTTATGATTCAATGCTAACAAATCATTTTCTCTTAGGAGGCATTAACATTTAAAATGTCTGTCGAACATTTTTTTCTAAATGCCAGCCACAATTATTCTCTCTTGAAAACAATTACAACTTTCTTTTTGGGTTTGTTTCATCGATTTGTTTAAATATCATCGAACACACAAAATGAGTGCGACTGGCTCTCATTTATTAGTTGATTCAAAGTGATTTTCTTTTCTTTTCCAGCAAATATATTGAAATGATACCTGCAATATGGAGTGTAAGTGCAAATGCTAATGAAAATAAAAATTTCATTTTTATACTCGAGACATGTCACCGAATAACAATTGTTTCACAAACACTCATCCGACGAGATCATCATTTTTATGTGCAAATAATATCATTGCTAATGCACATATACCATATAGAAATACGTAACGCACAATTCTAATTTATGTGTATCATTTTTTTATGAGCTGCATTTTTTTTGTATCGTTCATTCAGTGCATTCAAATAACATTTACTTAATCAGGGTGAGACGAAAAAAATGTTATTTCAACTATTATCGAGTGATAACAATTCGCTACTAGCGAATAGAATATTTGGTTGACTATCCAAAGCGTATCCAGCTGAAATGTCATTGTGTCGAGCGGAAAAGAAATAAAATTAATAAGCGAAAATGAATATAACGATTGTTCTCTGCAATAAAATATGAAAAATAAAATAAAAAAAGCATACATGAAATTTAATGTGCAAAAATAAAAAACCAAACATAATATATGTCTACAATAATATTTTTTGGTGTATGTATTTCACTCTTTGGTATGGAATATTCAATAGGCTTAGAAGCGTATAAACTTTGAAGGTTCATACATTGTGCCTTAAACGACATCAATTCCCTCATCACGCGGCGGCGGTGGCGATACATTGGGAGCGCGCACTCGTGTGCGTTCAATCATCGTGACAGATGCAGTGCATAAAAATTGAGAAAAATTATGCAGCTCCATCGAGAAAGCTGAAAGCATTTGGCATTTGATTTGGACGCATGAATAAATGCCCTTAAAATAATAACCAACGATGCGAACGTGTCCAAAAGCGCATGTTAAATTGAACGAAAGTGGTATCGATGATGGCAATGCATTTTAATGAATTGGAATAGATTGGATTTGGTGGTGACCGAAGAGTGGAATCGACACTACGTACCAAACACAAAATCTAATAAACAAAAATCGAAGAAGGCATGAGCTGCAATTTGGAACGGGCAACGGGATGTGCTGACAATTCTTCAATCAATCGTAATCTCTAATCAAAGCAAATGCATACGATGACTCGCCTTGACACAGTAATATGACAGGCGTCATTTTTATCATATTTGGACAAATTTTTGAGTGATAACCGTGAAATTTGTATCGTTTCGCTATGCCCGGGGTGTCATTTATCTTGTTTCAGATATTGAGCACAATGCCACAGCAATCGATGATTTGCTGGAACACAAATAATAAATGCGATCACAAAATTATTCATAACCCTATGCAGAACCGTTTGAATGTTTTACGATTTACGCCGGAAGATTTGGTAAGAATTTTATAATAATCGACAATGGTGTGTGTATGGCGCGCTTTCGATTCCTTTGATCGAAAACTCATTTTCAGATTGCACGCGTCTCTCTGGCTGTGCCTATGAATATATATATTTATCCAAATGTGATACTCTTTTTTAAACGTGTGCACTGTGCATTGCCATCGTCAATGCTGGATGATTTCATCGTTGACGCCATAAAATCGTGTTAGAATACAAATAAATATCATTTCAGTTCATTAAATCAATCGTTTGTTCATAATCATAATATCATTTTAACAAGAAATCAAACCTTTTTTCCCATTTAAACACAATAAACGGTTTACAAAATGCTTTGCCGATACTGCTGCCGATTCGAGAATATTACTGAGTGTCGAGGATGGTAAGTCAAACGTATAAACACGCAAAAACAGTTGTTTGTATCTTTTTGAATGGTTTCGCTCTTGATGATGTGTTTATACGTAATATTTTACGTTTTTAGGGAGAAATGATTGTACGCGCGTCATACACATTAATATTAATCTATCGACTGCAAAATAATAACTTAAGTTTCAATAAGCGTTTCAGCATCGCATAAATAATAATTTATGTTTTTCTTTTGTTCTCTGTGCTCACCCTCACACTACTAAATCATTTTGAAACATATCGCCCATTCGGTCGTTCGGTCGTACCTACTGAAACGGATGTTCATACCCCTTTTATTTCTTTTCTGTGCTTTGACTCTCGTTCTCACTCATCTGATTTTGTGTGTTTCGCTTGTTTTTGATTGCATTTCAAAGGATTGTGGCGCGACGTGCTCTCTTAGCTACGAGCAAACGTCCAGAAGTCGATTTCCAACGCTATCGAGTTTGGTGCTCTCCGTAACACGATTGTAACCGCGCTGTCGCTTACAATTGTTTTCTCATTTGGTTTCTTTATTTGTGCAACATTGCCGAATTCACAGATATTTTTTTTTCTCTTCCACCACTTAAACCGAACGATGAGATACGAAAACAAGTATGTGTATAGTGTAAGTACCACAAAATCAGCAGCAAAAATGTAATGGAAAAATTTTCATCTAATGATTTATTTTTATTCGAAAGGGTTGTCTCTAATATTTTATGTTACAGTGGCCGGAATCCGAAAATCCAAGAAAGAGATCGAGATGGAACGAGAGCAAAGGCAAGCGAGTGAGCGACCAGAGAGCACAAAAAAACTTTTTTGCCGTCGTTCGCGCAAACAGGAAAAAATGATGCAAGATTTATTGCTATTGATATCGCTTACAATCTAATGTTCTTTTTTCATCTAGCATTTAGACAAAAGCGTGTCTACTGCTTCAGTGTATCTCTCGCTCTCTTTCTATATGATTTTTTGTTGTGTTGTTGTTGTTGTTAATCGTAGGTTTGCAGTTAATGCAGATACTGGCAAAGTAGCTATTATAATATATTATTCGCTGGGAATAAAACATTAAGTGTTAAGTGTTTACAAAAGAAATCGTGTTAAATAAAATTGTGTGCTGCTACAAGAGGCAGACGCTCCAAGTAAATTATTCAAATAAGCGTGACAAATCCAGTGAATGGAAGCGAAATATTCACGCATTCGCTCTTGCATCTCTCAGTCAAACTTTTGCATTGTTTTCATTGAGAATACAATTTATTTTTCGCTGTTGTTTTGTATCATTATTGGCCGTATTCTTGTTACGGTACCCATTGTGTGCTTCCTTAAGCCATTCGCATAGTTTACTGGCTGTGCATAATCTCAGATTAGCTGCGTCAGACGTACTCATTCGAAAAATGCGAACGCGACAAACATCTGAGGCGAACAAGAGTCAAAATGTAAGAAATTACTACGACGTTCGCATAAATTGGATTCCCAAATGAAAACCAACGAAAGTTGTTAATTAACGCACATTTTCAGTGGAATGTGCGATGTGCTCGCTTCCAGCCCACATTCATTCGAATCCAAACATACATACATCACATGCTATAACATCGAAATGATAATGATTGATACCATTTAAACTTGCATAATTCGAGAAATACGAGCATTTTTCATCCAATCCCGAAAATAGAACCGAACAAAGCCGCAAAATTATGGAAAAATTACACTTTCCAGCTAAATTATATATCTATCGCGCTCGACCCAAAAAAAAAAAACACAAACACACACACACACACACACACAACAAAACTAAATGAAAAGAAAGAACGAAAAATTATAAATACAAAACGTTGAAACGAGAAATAAGAGCGAACATTAAAATCATACTCGCATGTAGTTATTTTCGGAGTATACAGATGTGCATAGCTATATGTTTCAATGTCTTGCATAAAAATGTGGTGAAGCCAAGCCAAGCCAAATGTGCGTCACTTTTGTTGTTGCCGTTGTTGTTGGTGTTTTAGTTTGAAAGAGAAAACGAAGTCTGGATTTCTGCTGTTCTACATTATATTGTTTGACCGTGACAGTCTGTTTTTATTTTTCAGTGTGTGGATAAATTATATAGGCGCGATTGGCGTACTAATGCGATGAGGCAATCATTTCAACCATCAGCCAATTAATCCTAATTCAAAAACATTTGAATTTAGTTCTCGAAATGACGTATTTAGTATGTTAATAGTGAACGAAAACAACAAGCGATAGCATCTGGAACTGGATTATATACACTGTATGTGTATACTTTTTCATAGATTGGTCTTCTTCGTCTTTCGTTGAGAGAGTCACTCTATCGAGGAGCAAAAGATGAGGAGAAATGGTGCAAAGCGGCCATAAATTCTGTATTGTCCGTAAGGGAACAAATTACTTTGTAATCAGACAGAAAGTACTGTCTGTATTGATTATCACTATCACTTTGAATATGTCACTAAAAGTGCAGCAGACAGACAATGGTTTCAATAATTTCGGTGTATGTATACATATATATTCAAGCAGCATCAAGCCAAATAGATTCCCCCTGGATGAAACACATACACTGAACAGATGTGTCGGTTGACATACAGACATTGCAAAAATGAAGAGAGCAAAAAAAAAACACACATCGAGAGAAGAAGCACCGAAAAAAAGCAACGCGATATAAAATTTGGATGTTTTCTTTCGATTTCGATATGCATGATGACACTTTATTCGCTCTCCTGTGTATACTGTAAACATCCCCACTACAAATAATCTTTTGCACGCTACAACTACATGCAGAAGTCGTCTGCAAACAAATACAAATGAACCAAATTAACAATGAATGCTCCTGGTTTGTGCACTTCAAATGAACGCGACCGTGAATTCCGTACTCAATATGCGATCCATGAAACGGTCAGAATGAATATGCGGCACATAAATGCGCGCCAATTCATCTCGAAGCGATGACTATTGAACATGCAAACAATTACTGCGTGCTGTGGCGCATCGTTGGTCGCTGCAGATTTGCACAAAACTTAAATTCTGTTGGATGTTGGTATTTTTAGCTTCCATTCAACAAAATATGGGGATTTTAAAATGATTGAATAATTAATTTTCGTTTTAATTTTATTTCGTGTTAAACCAGAAAAATGTTCGAAAACATTTGGTCCGAATGTTCAATTTTCAGAAACGAAAAATTTGCGCACAAAGACCACTCTCAGTGATTCAAGCGATGTGCATGAAACAAAAAGCCGAATAGAAGACACATATAGCTATATGTATAGACATGTAGATATGCTATAGAGCATCGATATTGTGTATTTCATTCGCATCCAAAAGCATCCGCATAATCTATCCCCGTTTGTAAGCCATTCGAGCTACATATTTATACATTTGTGCGATTCGAAATGCCTTGCCGGCGTCATGTTTCAGCAACGTTCATGGATACCGAAAAGCATTCTTCTTCTTCTTCTTCAATCATCGAAGGGAAAAAAACGCTAGAGAGAAAAATGTATATATCTGTAGCGACTGTTCATGACAACATGTATCAATAATTGCGATAGAGTACATCGTTTTGTATAAATCGAATCGAACGCTAATCGCCATGTAAAAAAGACAAAGTTTCTCACTTAGATTCGATTCTCTTTCGTTCTTTTCGTTTCTCTTCTTCCTTGCTTCCTTCATTGCATTAATGCTCCTGCCACACCATCTAGTTACGGTTTGATATTGATGCGAACGCATTATTTTCATGATGACAGTTTTAAATTGCAACCGTGCGCACAAATCGTCTGTGCCATTCGTTAAAAACGTTATGCGGTTTATGGGTTAATCTCATTAAACCAGAAGAGAAATATATTATTTCTCTCACCTTCAGATAGACGCGATCCCCATTGCACTTAGGATGTGTGTTATAACTTAAATTAGCAAATAATGACCACTTTCATAACTTTGAAATTAACTCACTTAGCGGTGGAAAATGTTCATATGCAGCACTTTTAATATTACTGTTATTGTTATGGTTTTATTAATGCTTTGCAGACGATATTGTCTTCTCTTTTCCTTCCACCGCTCTATCCCTCTATCTATCTCTCTCTCTCTCTCTGTGTGTTCGGATAGACAGCTAGACATCAGACATTATTATACTTTTGAAATGTGTGCATGCAATACATGCGCTACGAAAATATATTTACATTTGCGGCTACAGCACAACACTTGCAAATATACATATCTCTCTCTCTCTTACTCTCCATATGTATACTACACATACATTTCGTATCATTTGTCTGTGATCCTTGTTGAAATTTTTCGGTTCCGTGCATTTTCAGCCGGATTATTCAAACGTAGAGCGAAAAAAAAAACTATTTTTACTCGCAGATAACAGAAACACACAAATTTTGACATTTCTGTTTAAAATAAGAACAATGCACTGCAACAGACATATAACTACTTTTCTCATTTCAGTAAAATGCTAGGAGAGATATCTTTGGCCGACGCACCGACAAAAACCGACGTGGGGATGGGTATAGCATTTTTGCCGGCTATGTTAACTCTTTTAATTACTGCAGTCAAATATTTGCTGAAAATTCAATGAATGCACGCTTCAAAGTATCGGTCCCATTTAGCCTCAATAAATTTGGTTGGTTCGAGAAAAAAAAAATCCCAAAGTAAATTTCATCATTTTACAAACTGAAGAAAAATCGCTTTTTCATCCAAATTGTTGGATAAATTTGCATGCAACATTTTCCATTGTTTCAACGAAAACCCGATGACGAGAAAAAAATTCAAAAAAATCGTTATAATTGTTGAAAAAACTATTTTTCTAAATTAAAAATTCAATATTCAAATTTCTAAAGGAATTTGAAAAAAAGGAACCGATTAAAAAAAAAAAATTGTAAATTCGTTCAATAAAAAAAAGTGGGTTGTGAAGGAAACGAATTGCATATTCCGTTGCATCAAATAAAATTGATAATTTACATGAAATAAATTCAGTCTGTGTACGATTTGTGTGTCGTTCATCCGCTATCAAGTATTGGCAATAAAATTTAAGGCTCAGAACGCATAACCCCCTTAGCAAAAGTAAAAGCCGAAAGTATAAACATATTATTTCATCGATGGATAGATTACGTTTGATTTCGGGCCGGATGAAATAAGCGGCTGAAGGAAAAAAATGCTGTTAATCTCTTGGCATTGGCAATGGAAAATTAGCGTCACGACGCTAATCGAAACGCATGCGCATTCAAGGTGAAATACGGTGTGAATGCTGGCTTGGCGGTAGTAACAATTATTGACAATGCACTGTGCTCAAATCATTTAAATAGAGAGAAAGAGTGTTCGTGCTGCTTCTTCTTCTTCATCATCATCGCATACTTTTTTCTTCTTTCATTTCGTTGGTTCAACTCGATAGCTATAGCATACAAAATGCATTAGCTGTCTGGATGTTCCGAGACTACAAGTGGCGTGCACAGTGGCGGCGATACACACATGTTCCACTCAGATGCGCCGAATATGTGTGTGCATGCTTCAAATGAAAGTGAAATGACAGATATAATGTTTGAATGTATAACACGTTGCATTGTCATATCCAAGCGCGAGCATGTATACATTATATATGTACTATAGAAAAAGGGAAAAAAAATGCGGCACGCTGTATGTGTGCGGATATTGCGAATAGTGTGCAAAACATCCAGTGGGATTCCGAAAACGAGGGGCAATACGAAACATGGATCGGCTCAATGTGTAAATTACGTCGAATGTATAGTTATTGTGTGCTGCTCTTTGAGCAGCTAGAGAGTAAACGTGTTGCAATAATAGACATTGAGCGCAGGCAGTGCCTAGTAGCTGGCATTTGTGAATGTAAGCTTTTCGATTTCACGAGTGTTTGCTCCTCTTTCCTGACTCTTGTCTGGCCTCTCTCCTGCTCCTTTGCCGCTTGCAATGCACACTCCGACTGCGAGCGTGTTATACCTTTCGTTTTCACTCAAACAGGCATCGGCACAAGTTCACGGTTACTTTCCCCTTTCGCACAAGTTCATGTTCATGTTCATGTTCAATTGTGTGGCGCGCGTTCGTTCGTTTGCTCGTTCGCTCGCTCGCTCGCTCGCTCGCTCACTTGTGTTGCATATGAATGTGCATGGGCTCACAGGCGAGCAAGGATATAACTCTTCGTCCTTCTACTCTCCACTCCCCTTCGCCTATAAGTGCGAAGAACATGAAGCCGCAACCACTGTACCCGAATTGATTTTTATTCTCTCTCCGCGCGCATATGTATCGGTAAAACAGCCTGTGAAATGAATATATACGCGGCTTATAGTCCAGTCGGCACTCATAGGCACGCATTCATATTTATCGATACCGCTACCAAACAATATCGCTCGCTCCTCTATGAGCATCGGCTTAGCGGTGCTGTGCTGTGCTGTGCTTTGTGCATTATTTTGGATGTGTACATGTGCGTGCATGTATGTGTGTACGCATAGCGGATGGAAGCGTTGATTTGCAAGTGTGCGTGATGCACATTCTTTCCGAGAGTCGGTTTTTTCGGGTATATAACATGTACGTATGTCTGAAATCGAATAACTCACTTTGCAGCGAGCGCTTGGTGTGTTTGAATGTCTGTGTCGTTTCTTCAGCGTACTTGCTCCTGTGTTGTTTTCAAATCTATATCATATAGAAATTACGTATACGTCGGTTTTTGTCGTTTCCTCGCGCTAAATGTTTCTGTGTGCTTCAGAACCAAAATATTCGTATAAAGCAAAAATGAAATAAAAACAACAAGACAAATAACAGTTCGCCATACAGCGTGGTTTTCTCATTTCACTTCTCTTCTTCAACAACATATAGAATACGAATATAAGTATAAAACTAAAGTAAAAAAAAAAAAAAAATTGCGACCGTATACACCTAATGCCACTTTAAATTCGTTTTCGCTTTCCGCGGATCAGTATGGAGTTAGTAGTGAAGCCGATCGGTTAAACATTTGCACGCATTTTCTGTTTCATATGAAAACAACAAAAAAATTGTATCAACGCCGCAAACAATTCAAGAAAAAAAAGAACATTAAGATTGAAAAAATCAAATGAATAAATAAAATTGATTCGAATTTTTTGGCAAATTGTGAGAAACTCTATTGAACTAAAATAAATAATAAAAACGTGATAAACCATTTTTTGATATGAATACTCGTTTTTTTTTTCTACTAAAAAAATAAAAAAGAATCTTTTAAAAACATCACATTTTCAAAAAGAGTGATTCAAATTGACAAATCATTAAAATTTCGGCATTTGTTTTTATCCCATTTTATGCATATAAACATTTTCATAACACGTAGTTATAATCCTCAAGACTTATGTGAATGATTTGCAGAGACATGATCTGAATCGTGACTATAAATTAATGAAATCAGTAATATTTTATATGAAAAAAGAAGACTCTAATATTCAAGTGACTTCTTAATCATTTATATATTTAATAAAAACAAAACTATTTATAATGTTAACTAAAGTGACGCATTGTAGAGGCTTGATTCAAACGGTAGTATTTGTAATAATCGCGTCGTAAAAGTTTTTTTTTTTTTTCATTATGAATTGATAAAACTGAATAGATATAAATTCGTGAACTGTATTCCCGGGGCCGACTTTTATAGACGAAACAAATAAACAACGGATTTTACTGTTCGAGAACATAGATAGAAGGAACACCAAAATCCAGCTTACAAATAAATAAAGCGACATTTTTATTTGTGTTTAAAACCGAAATTTGTAGAAGCGAAACAGTGACGAAACAGTTCAGTGTGATTTAATGGCACCGCGGCGAAATAATAGCAGCCCTTCGGCTATTGATGTACGTACATTGGTCGGTCTTGAGCTTGACGCCATGGATCATTTTCCAAATCTACAAATAAAAATCAACAGCAAATTAGCACGATGCTGTGTTCCGACCGGCGACTGCTTCAAATTGAATGCACTCGATTATGGTTTGATTCAGTCAAATAATTTGCACGATTGCGTGCGCGTCATTTGTAGCAACGAACGATGCACAGCTGGTCAGTATATGCATCGTGAATGCTTTGAGGCTTGGGAAGATGGTGTTTTAACGTATTTGAAGTCGATTGGACGGGCACGTTCATGGTCGGACCGGCAACGCCAACAGAATCTCTGGACGAAAAAAGGATACGATTTGGTATTTAAGGCATGTGGCTGCAAATGTGGACGTGGTTATTTGAAAAAGGACTTGGATTGGCAAGCATCAAACGATCGGAATTCAATCATTGACGACGATGCAACAAAAAAGAAGAAGAAACGTAATCGCAGCAATCAAAAATCGGCATTGATGCTTGCATCAAATAATAACAACAACAACAACAACAATAACAATCATATCAATAAAAATGATAATCACGATTTTAATGTAACTAGTTTGCTCGATACATCGCCCAATGCATTCAATGCATCGATTTGTGTCGAAAATAGACAAATGATTTTCAATAACAATCGTCGCCGAACGAACAGCTTGTCGTCTAGCTTAGATGACTGCATTTCACCACCAGCATCAACGACCAGCGATACCATTTGCTCACCAATCGAAATGATCCAGAAGGAAAAATCAAAGGTGGAAGCATACTCTGAACGTGTTCGGTAAGAATTCAATACACTTTTGTTCAATTATTTGGTAATGAATAGAAAGAAGAAAAAATAGCATCGGTTAAATTAATCAAAGTAGTTAAACTACATTTTTGTGTACGTTGTTCAAAATTTTGAAAACTTTTCGCATCAAATCGCGTAGCCATCGTATTAATTGGATTTATTTCTCTATCTGTCTGTCGGATGATGCGAATTGTTGTGTCAATTAATAGAATTTCAACATTAATTACTTTTCATTTCGTCGCTTCGTCGAATGCCAACTTGGTAAACAATCGATTTTCACTTCTTTGTCGTCGCCAATAATAGGCGCGCACGTGCACAATATACATTTTGTTGAGGATAATATGTCTCGTGAATTCCAGATCGGTTTCGGTGTGTGTTGCACAAGCCGACGTTCGAATTGATGTTTCGTTTCCTTGTACAGGTTTTATGCTGCTGCACAACACATAGCCATGCGTTAGTCAAGCGTGTCTACAATGCAGTCACGTATGTGTTCCCTCTTTCTGTGCGAAAACCAATCCGCTTGGCTTTTTCGTCTATATCGCTAAAAACCGACGCACCAACAATTTTACGACTACGTTCATTTTTTTCCCTTTACATCCTCGGTGTCGGTTGTTTGGTTCGAGTCGAGAAATTATCTGGTCGATTTTGTTGGCGAATTGCCACTTATCCGATGATGCTGTACATCAAAGTCCATCGCAAAGCTACAATTTCAATTATAATATCATCAAATACAAAATGTTAATTTTTTTCAATTATTTCATTCTCTCTCTCTCTCACACACACACACACTCATAAATGCGTACTACAAGGAAAGTTATTAAATTTCAAGTGTTAACTTGACAATATTCAAAATTTCATGATGGCGTTTCATGGCTTCAGAATCAATGGTCCATGGCTACGCTGCCAACAACACAAACGGGAAAATCTAATTAAATTTTTTTTTTCGCTCCTAATATATTTGAATATGCGCCATTCACTCAATTATCCAATATTTACACTATGATACCTTTTCGAATACATCGCGAGTCCTTTTTTTGAAACTTTTCAGGCGTGAAAAAAGATCGTTATCGTCAAGCGCCTTTTGTCTACATGAAAAGACGGTAAAAAACTCATCGAAAGGTAGTCGCCAGTATAAAATCAAACGCCTGATTGACGCAGTGCGTGCGTTTATGTGGAAGATTAGCTATTTTACAAGTGTTCTTCCCCCCAACCAACAAACAAAAAAATACACCACACTTTCACCAGGCTTATATCTATATACATATATTTTAGACGTATTTATTTTTAATTCCCAATTCTAATAAATATTAATCTTTTATTACTCGCCTTCGTGAGTATCCGAGGGCTCTTTTTCGCTATATATAGTGTGTGCATTCAAAATTGTGCATAAATTCCGAGAGGTAATTCTTTATTTATAAACAGTAGGATCGCAATAAAAAAATGTACACACAGTAATTCAATCGAATCGCTCGCGTGACGCATCTACGACAGATAATAATACAAACCAAATAACAAATTGTAGACGCTTGTGTACGGAACTCACAACGATAAGATAACCGAAACGGCGTTACCTTTTTTTCCTCTTTTTTTTCTCTTCACCTTATTTTCGGTCACATTCATTTGCAAGTGTAAAAAAAATTCTCATTTTAATTCAAATTGTTTTCTAATTTGGTTTGTGGCAATAGCTTGTCTAGCAATTACACGTTTCCAAGTATCCACAACCCAATGAGGGTGGGCAATGAATCGTATTCAACGCGTACTATGGTTAAACGAAAATGAGATGCGATTTCATGAAGTTTATTTATAATTTTATCAGATGTCAGTCTCTTTTTATTTCCTATATCACTTGAGAACAAGAAAAAAACACATTGCGCTTTAGGTTTAGGTTGAAACATCAATCATTGCATAATGAGTAGTGCTTCCAATTTATAATTTAATGTATTTTTCTTCCTTTTTGCTATAGCTCAACTTCAGGATGTAATGGTATTTTCTCGAGACGACTGGACTTTTCGATATTCAATATGCTGCCAAAAACTAGACTCAATTCTTATCAAATTAAGGTAATTTATTTTGAAACCTCAGCATCTATTCAAACAAACAGAAGCTATTCAAACTTCTATATAGAAATGGTAAAAGGCTTATAGAAATGTTTAATTGGAAAATGGACAAATATCGATCCGATAGTTCGAGAGATTCCCATAAGTTTTTACACTGTAATCTCTTTTCCATGTTCGATTCGTTTATTGACCAATTGACGACGCCATACAACAAAAGCGATTTTCACTGATTGACCACTAAATTTTCCGTACACATATCCATTTTCCACTTCGGCAATGCGATCCAAGTGCTACGAAAAGTTGCACCTTTATTGAGAGACACGCCAAAACAATGTACAACAATAACATGTAATCTACCTATTTTAGGGAAAACTTGAATAATGCCCAAGGGCGCAGTTTGTGGTAAAGTTTTGCGTGGTGCGTTGTTGGTTTTTCTCCCGTTTCTTCTTTTTTTCCGTCTCTTTTTCGTTTCTTCGTTCGGTCTTCGTCGTCTTGTGATTTTGGCACCAAGGCTTATCTGCATGATATGCGAACATGTTTATAATGCCATAAACCGCATAAGTCGTGAGCTCCATGAGATGTACTTAATATGCAGAAGCGTTGCGTAGACGGGTATTTTGGCATAAGACATTTTCAAGAAGATTGCAAGTTTTAATGTTTATGCATACGATTTCGAGCAATGTTTTAACTTTAATACATTTGCATGTGTGTGTGCATAGTTTTTGGCTTTGCTAAATGAGCTCAATTTACATTTATCGACACTGAAAGTGGTCTCCGAAGCTTTTTCGCAATGCAAGTCGTAAGCGACCAAACAGATTTTCGCGTTCGCACCACCACGATAAACGCATTTGGCCCTTTGCGAATTTCACTTCGCAAACATTGAAATCGTATATAACAAATCATCACTTCATCATTGCCATCACGGATACAGTACAGACAACAATGTTACCTTGTGATGAGCATAGGATGCGACGTGCGGGTCTCCACGTCTATGTTTGTTTGTAATAATCCATTTGTGGGATGAATATAATGTGTTTCATTTCAAAAGCAACAACAGTCATCATCGCATTGAATAGATATTTTCTTTCAAAGTAAATACAAAATACCGTCTCAAATGACGGTGTGATGTGTAGGAAAATTTCGTTTGCCGCTTGGTTGCTAATTATTCGCCATTTTCGACGATACTCGAAATGAATGAGCGTACATGGACGTAATCCACTACCAAAAATCGTAATTTACGATGCGAATATGCGAAGAATAAATAGATTGGGGTTGAGCAAGTGATTGTTCATAATATTGAAATAGTTGGCATGTGTGTGTGAGCGTGTGATTTTCAGTGTCAGTTATTTTGAAAAGGGTCAACGCGGCAACGCCGATTCTCGACCAAATCAAGAGACCACCATGCCAATGGGGTGTACGTGTCCCATTTCAGATTCAGCACTAGAAAAGGATATTGTTTTACTCATATGCTTATACCGATTACCAAAATGTGACGTGTACTATCCGGCATATGGGTTTTATTCTTATCTAAAGTTTGAGAAAACAAAACAAATCAACGGCGGCAAACCTCTCTCTCGTCTGCAATACAAACCAAATAATATAAAACCTAATTGTGACTTATGTGAACCACTAAATCTATTTAAGCCACCAACTTATCACACCACTAGTTGCAATGTTGTGACCGATTGATGTGTGGCCACCATTCAATGTGCTAGCACTGTTGGTCAGTTGAAAAGTCGGCGAGCTTGAAATTATCTGTTGTGAGACAAACAGTTAGTTATTTATTAAATGCTAATCGATTTCAAAAGGCAACCGGATTACAGACCTACGTGATAGATCAACTCATTGAGATATTCCAGATTAAAGCACTCAAATTAAGCCACTGAAACCTGTTCATGAAATTATTCTTTTACGATATCATAAAGTATTCATTGATTTCAATTTGTTCTGTTCGTTTTGTGTGTATGTGTGCGTGTGCGTGTGGGTGTGCGTGCATTTGTGTGTGCGTTTGTACTCGAATTGCTAGATGGAAGACGAAGGTAATCACGGCAATGATGAGACTCGCTTGTTCATCCTCTCTTCATTGGCTCAACACCACAAAAGCCGTATCAGTTGCGTTCTGTGCGAAGATTCAATGCTTGTATTCGATCGATATCCACTCGTAGACGGAACATTCTTCTTGAGCCCAAAACGTCATACTTCAGATTGCATTGAGGTAAAAATATATCCACGTGAAATACGATTTTTTTTTCGCAATTTCTTTGCATTTTCAATAAATGAATACGATTGGTATATTCAGGTCAAATATGAAGGCCAAACTCAATACTTGACGGCGCTCTGTATGGGATGCTTAGAGGGAGTCTCACCCGATCGTATCATTCGCTGCAGGTAAGTTTCAATAAAAAATTAATATAATGCTGATTGTAGCTGAGATGATAACGATTTTCTCTTGTTTCGTCGTGGTGTAGATTTTGCTCGACAAAATGGAATGGATCGTCATTAGTACTCGGTACGATGTACGCATATGACATTTTTGCTGCTATGCCATGCTGTCCCGATCGTTTGACTGTAAGTATTTACAGTATTACAATATTAACATTCGAGCAAGTTGTTTGCTACATGTAATTTTTTCATCTTCAAAAAGCACAATTAAACTCTTTCAACTAGACCCACAAATTTTGTATACACAATAACAGAAAATGCACGTTTTTTTTACATCTAAATTTAAATATTATATACAAATTTCCAGTGCAACAGCTGTTTCAAGTTACTGCTCTATCCGCATCAGCGACTGAATTTCTTCAGTGATTATAGCCATGTGGTATCGTGTATTCATTGTACAGCTCAGGACACTCACTTTGTGAAGCCATTGTCATACTGCTACACCAGACAGACGGTACAGGCGTTTAATCAGTGGCCATAGCATAAGGACGCCACACTGGAATCCAGTGGATCCAGTGTTGGCCAGCAACATGTCATTACCCAACCATCCAAAGTTGATGCGAATTCGTATCTGAATTATTCGAATAATTCGTTTGGATCTGAGATGCACAGTGAGAAATCGATGAATGAATCGATAGCCACATCGCTATTGAATGACCTAAAAGCGATCAAATTGAGTGAAACAAGTGTTGAACATGTGATGGACAAGTATAAATCGATGCACACCGAACGTGCGATCGTCAAATCAAATGACTTCAATAAGCAACATCATTCGGCATTGAATAAAATATCGTACAACCAATGGATGCCTTCGCAAAGTCCCGATCCATTGAACAAGTCATTCAATTGCAAAACTGACAGCAAAGAAGTGTTGTGGGCATCAACACAATCATCACCAAATAGCACTCAACGCGAACAAATGAAAAATCAATTTAAGAAATCCAATTCGACACCGTCAAATCTATGGGAGAGTCCCAATTTGAAATTGTCACAATCAGCATTGATGATAAAGAATGATTCGAGCAGCTCGGTTTGGTACACACCACCACAGATTCAATCGCCGGCCATGTCTGGCCAAAGCATCTGGGACTCGCCAACATCATCCATTTTGAATCATTCGGTGGAGAGTTTCTCATCGGACTGTGCGGGTGGCCTGTTGCGACCACAAGATTTATCACCAAACGACATTTGGAGTAACACCAGTAAGCTACAATCATCAAATGGATTCAATACATTCAAGGCTGACAATTCCGTATGGTCAAATGCATCGCCGATTGGTAATAAAACTGAGAGTAATATTTTCACATCGACACCGTTCAAATCCACATCGGCATTCAATGGCCAAAAAGATTTTAAGAAAATTACCAAACCAATAATTTCAACGACATCCACAAGCACTGTCAATCATGACACAAATCCAGCTAGCTCATCATGCTTACAATTGTTTTCCGATGATTTCATGAACTATCTCGATATGATAAACTAAATTTTTTAAAGAGAAGAAAAGAAAATGAAAAACAGCGAACATATTCGCATCGAACAAAACAAACAGTAGTACTATGACATGAAAAGGATTATGTCAAACGAGAAACAAAAATATTAAGCAAATTCTTTAGTTGAATTTTACCTTGTTTTCATTTATTTTATTTTTTAAATGTTTAATTTTTTTTAATTATTTTTTTTTCTTGTAATTTCTCAAAGTGTTTGATGTTTTCTTTTTGGTTACAATTTTCTTATTTTGACATGTCGTTTACATTCGATGACAACGACTTACATAGATCTATTTATGATTCTCTTATATTTTTTTTTTTAAACAAATTTATAAATTTTCTGTTCGCAATATCTACATGAGATATAAACATCTATATATTTAAAAGAAATATTGTTACGTAGTTTTATTTTAATTTTTTTCCTCTTTATTTTTGTTCGCAACATAAAACAAACACAAAATTTTAAGGCTCATTATGCTAATGTGAAACTCGCTAATGGAAAAAGAATCAAGTAATTCAAAGTTGGGAGAGTAATTAATTTTAAAGATTATATTTAAATTGGATTTGATGAATAATGGTGGGCACAATTCTTAGAATATGTGCATGAATGATGAGAATTTGATGGAATATTGAAATTAAACACATTTTATTGGATCATATTTCATTGCGTATAAAATGTGGGATAATTGCACAACCACCAATAGTTCTTTTTTGCATAGAAAAGAAACGGCATACTCGAAATATTCCTTTGGACAAAATTAGTTGATAAGAAACTGAACTGAATCTCCCTTAGCGGGAGAGCAAAATCTGAAGATCGCACGCAAGAACGCAAGAACGAAAGAATCGAACACAGAAAACACATTTTCGGGGAAAAAAAAAAATCATATTTTTCATGTTTTCAACAACAACAACAAAGAATCAGTTCACTTAAAATTGTAGTCTAATAAGTTTAATTATTGTAATATACATGATCTATATATAAATTATAATTACTGTGTGTTTCTGTAGGATTTTTTGATACGAGCATCTATTTAATATTTTGATACGAACAAACCGAAAAGAAATAGAAACAAAACGACAAAGAATGTCAGTTTTGATTATATGAAAAATTCAGCACATACACCCTCCACGAAGGGTAGTACTTTATACTTTTTATACCATAAATAAGTAGGTCTTTAGCTCCTTTGTCAGTCAAAATGTCATGTGCTTTGCGTACATGGACTAAGTGCGTTATGGCCACTTTTAAAAGAAAAAAAAAAACAAAAAGATCTCCACGAATATAGTTTTCACTGTAAACTCAAAATGAAAACATGTCGCAAAAAAGTTGATGAAGGGTATTCATATTATGTAGTGATCCAGAGCAATGTCAGTGCGATCAAAATTTGTAATATCATCGAAGCAAAGCGATTTTGGTTTAAATGTGAACGAATGGACAAGAGTTGTCTAATGTTGAAATGTAAAACGATGTGAAGTAAACCGTAATTGCGATTGTATTATCAAATGATATGACAAGTAAACTGTAAGCAAACCACAACAACAACCAAATAATGATGGCAGACTAAGAAAAGGATAATTTAATTTATTTTATAAAATGGTACATATAGCAAGCGTATATTAAATCGATATATTTGTATATACTCATACGCATTTACATTCAAGCTGCCCTGTGAGGTTATGTTGACAGAATATTACGATGTAATAATTTGAATGAAGAAATATGGTATTGAACGTTTGGTTAGTTTTATGGCGAATGAATGAAAAAAACAATTATGTTCAGAACAAAGATGAATTGATTTGGTATTTTTTCAAATAATTTAAATATTCTATTCGAGAAAATAAATCGAGTGAGAATCTTTTTTATTGAAAAAAAAAACGCAAGGTTTGCATGCAAACCAATACAAGATGTTGATATTCTGGCACAACAATAGCGATAAAGGAACACTGTTCCCATTAATGTTCCCATATTCATTTATTTGTGGTCACGAATACACATACAAAAATAAAACACGAAGAAAATTACATTCATTTTACCTATATAAACTCGGTAGCATGATTCACGTGCATTTTCTAAACAATTCACTAATGAGCATTAGTAAACAAGAGCAAATAACCTAACAATGTGATGAAAGATATTGTGGTAAACATTTGTGGTGTTTGAATTTTTTTTTTTGATTTTTATACATATTTTGTACTGTATACGTTCTGAAAAAAAGAAGAAAACAAAAAAGAAAACAAAATTCATAAGAGATTTGTTGACATGCATAAACAAAAAAAAAAACAAAACAACTAACAAAAAAAATCGGAAAAAATCAACAAAAAATTCTTGTTTAAGTTGTCAAAATTTTGAAAGAAACTCAAATATGTGATTCGGTAAAACGCCAAACATTCGAAATTAATATTCTCTTTTGTTGAAAAATTCTATTTTTTCATTGTGTTTCTCCATTTCGCATATAAGAATTTGTAAGCGTTTTTTCTTCCTTTCTCGATTTCGATTTTCGTTTCAAGGATTGGAGACAATGAATTGAAAAAAAAAATAAACTGGTCAAAAATTGTGAAATTAATAATAAGGCATAAAAAAATGAATTTCTTTATGTTAAACGGATTTTAATCGGCGTTTTTATACCAAAATTCATAAATTTTATATTGCATCATATTTTAGAATTAGAAACGATTTCTTGAAGACACTTTTTTCCATGATAAATTTTAAGCAAAACTCTAAATTTAAGTTGAAAAATGAAATTTGCGCATCGCATCGCACACAGAGAGATGCATCATAAAATGTATGTCAAATCACCTAATAATTGTGAGTGTGTCCCATTCGATGCCATTGATTTATCATCTAAAATGAGTGATTATAATCAGCGATGCGCAAAATCCACCAAATTTCATTCCCTTTAAACCAAACTCATTTCGGACTTGAACACATGGTTTTCGGCAATTTACATATGTGCGAATTTAAGGAAAAACACATGATTTAATGAAACAGCGAGAGAGAAAAAGAAAGATAGATGAAAATTTCCATTTAAAAAACGTGAACAGTGATAAAAAAAGAGAATAATACTAAAATTAACTACAGATTACCCAATTGATGAACGAAAGAAACTAAAAACAACAACAACATTGATTTAACATATTGGACTGTATTCAAACATTAGATTCGTAATGCCATATTTTTGTAAGATTGAAATTAAACGTTAATATAAATGCAGACTTATCGCTTCAAATTAGTAATAAATATTGAATAATATTAAACCAAAACAAGAGAAAAATACTTACTGTGGAATAGGAGACTAACTAATGAGATAAAAAAAAAAACTGTACATTTTTCGTAACGATGAGCAACACCAAAAATGCTCCTTTTCCCCCCCAATAAGTGTACAATTGGTGTTCAAAAACTATTTTTCTTACTGAAAAACAAAAGAAATGACAACAACACTAGTTGAGAGGCTAGAGACAGTGACAACTCACGTAGGATACCGAATATTCATTAACATTTTTTTTTCGCCCATAGGATTTACACATTATGAAGCAATACAAGGCGATACATTGTAGTAAACTCTTTAAAATAATGTGGTGTCGCCAATTCTCATAAGCCCTTAGCACACATCTCTACTCTAACCATTATAAAACGTAAACTCACGGGTCTAAAACACATTCGGAGCCGGTGTCTTTTTTTCTCTCGTTTTAACTCATTCGCACACATATTCAAATGGGAATGGAGTATGAAAACGTAAAATACAAGTAAATTGACCGAAGAAGTAAAGAAAAAATTCCGCTATGATTCATTCACACCGCGTTTATTGGTAAATTATGCTTTGAGTTTCGTATTTAGAGTTAATTTCATAACTAATATACATACACGAATTAGATTATTCGACGAACCCGTAACAAATATGTAATCAATCTCATATGTATCATTGGCAAATCAAAGCACAATTTCGAGTGTGCTACTACTCCGTAATGAAACCGCATACACACACACAGAGAGAGAGAGAGAGAGAGAGAGAGAGAGAGAGAGAGATACAAACACACTCGTATATACCACACATGTCACACGTATATTTGCTTTTAACTATTTTGGCATTTATTTTATAATGATATTCATCTTCAGGGATTTAGTTTTACTTTGTTCATTCTTCTATTATGCGTTAGTTCAAATAATATTGAATTCTTTAGTTATATATATCTTATTCGTGATGATTTCTATAATGATATATAATTTTAGTTATTTTAAACGAATTGTAAATATCTATGTAGTTTGCGAAGTATAAACCAAACATCAATATCATAAATAGTAATTTGCAATGACAACAAAGAAAAAGCATGAGTGAAAAATAATAAACTATCTCGAAAAAAAGACATTTTTTCCCCTAATTTATCATTTAGTACAAAAAATGACATGCTTTCAATGGATTTGAAATTGGCATATGCTCTTGTCTTTCTTGGGAAAATGCATTTCATTCTCATTTTCTTCTCGTTCATTTTGCGATGGTTCATTTTGCTTGAATCAGTCACAATTTTGTGTTTTGTAGTAAATGAAAAACGATTTGATTTTTGGTTTTTGTTCAATTTTATTGTCAATTTAAACGAAATATGTGTACTAAGCAAACTTCTTTTCCGAAGACATCTACCTCAATTCTTTTTGCTTTCGTTTTAATAGAATTTTCATGTACTTAGAAAAGCCCGAAAATATGACGAACAAAAAGAAATAATAAATGGAAATGGTTATTTATATTTTAATTTTTACTCTTGACAACTTTTAGCTCAATCAGTTGTTCATCTGTTTAAGTCTAAGAGCGATTAACACGATTGCCATCAAACGAATAAAACAAGTTAAAGCATAATATGAAGTGAGATGCAATGGTCTTGTCTTAACGTTATTGTAAATGAAACGGACACGGATGAAACTAAAATCATTTTTTTTTTGTTCAATTGAAATCAGTTGAAACATATGCCAGAACGCGACTTTAGTAAGAAGAAGAAGAATAAGAAGATGAAAATGTGAAAGTGGAGTGAAAAAAGCATAAATTGTGTTTCTATTGAAAAACTCAAATCTAGTTGCATTTTTAGAGTCATAAAAGAAGAATTCTCAGATCATCTGATGAAAAGACGTACAAATGTCATAAACAGTTAATTTTATTTAAATTGTTGAATTAAAAAAAAAATCTACTTCTATTACATCAGAATGTGTAAAAAGAAAATGAAACATTGAACGAATTCAGAGCGAGTGAAAGCAAACCAATGAACGATTGACAAAATATTCAATCATTTCATGAGAAACTCTTGAATTATTTGCGTGTGTTTTTCCAATCACAAACACTCTGATGCGCCAAACAATTTTGATGTAGTTTTCATA